AGAAGTAGTCAAAAGTAAGTCAATTACGAAAGACTTTTGTAAAGGGAGGAATTAGGCGTTTTTACGTTATACTTGTTATACTTGTAGAAATTGTGTCTGTCACTGATGAAAGTTTATAGTCTGCGAACGGGTATGGTCTGTAGCCTGAAATGGTTGGTCGATAGGTCAACAGTAGAATTGACGTGATTGATGTGTATTGAGTAAACGGGTGAAAATATCAGTCTGTTAACCGTGTCAAAAATTTCTCCATAATTGGTTGAACTTGAAAGGGTTTAGTAAAGGTTCCGTCATTAATTTCAAAATTGAAGTGTTTAAGAAATTTGTCTATCAATGTAAACAAAAAATGTCTACATACAGGTCTAATAGTTTTGTTGTTTTTAGCACATTTTTTCGAGCGGTTTGTCTGTATGGGTAAAATATTTCGTATGTCGCAAGTCTGTCAACTTTGACGGTTACTTTAAAGAGGTTTTGGCTGAAACAAGTCCTAAGTTTGTGTCTGTAAACGGGCGAAAATATGTTCTCAACCAGGTCTTAATACATGTAATGGAGAAAAAAAAGTTGGATCCTTATTGTCTGATAATATGTGTAACTATAGAACGTTTAGTCTCTAAACGGATAACATATTTAGTCTGAAACAAATACATTTTGTTGTATGTAATGGAATAATAAATACATTGTCAGTAAACTTGTAAAAGTCGTCTAGTAGTCTTGAATTATGTAATCGATGTTATCGTGTCACAACGTTACTTGATAGTAAAAATAAATGTGTAAAGTGTCTATTCGATATCAGTCAAAATTACATCTTAGTCCGAAATGGGAAGTCTTAATAAAATGGTCAGTCAAGTGTAAGGTAGGTTTAGTAAATGACATTCTATTAGGCATCGGGATAAATCCTTTAGAAAAAAAAAAGATATTTAGTAGAGCCTATGTAAAGAAAGAGATAAGCCGCTTAGTATTATAGAAATACCCTTTCCTTGGAGAAATAATATAAAGTGGCTTGATCAAAGAGCAAATTCCCCATGACTGGGAAAATAACCACAACTTTATCAAAAAGTATACCTATCATTTTACACAGTGGGTTTTATCCACTGTTAATATGTAGAAATAGAAAATGTTTTCAAAGAAAATAAAATCGATGAAAGGAGACAGAGTTTGTGTAAGGATTTTTAAAGCAACTAAGTGATGAAATGATAACATGACAGTCAAAACAACATTTTGATATTACAAAGTGCTTTATGATTGACATGAAAAACAAAACAAACAAATCTCAAGTCTGGACTTTCAGGTCTCTTATTTTACAAAGTCAGCTTGTCTTCATCTGTTCGAATCTGAGAACCGCAAAAACCCTTTTGTTTACCGCAAAACATTGCTACAAACTAAGTCATTTACAACAAAAGCTTCAAAAACAAACTTACAGCGAATTTTATTTGAACAAAATACATCAATAAATCAATCGTAACAGTACTTAACAATTCAATTCACGCCCTTGGCCGTAGATGAAACATAAAGAAAGGAAGAGAGCTAAAATCTTTGTCTTATTTTACTTCGGAGATTTTGCGGTTAATAGTGATGCGGCATTTTAGACGAAACAATCATGTTGTTTTGTTCGTATGAAAACAAGGTTTAATACAATCAGAAATCTTTGAATAATATCCAGTCTGCTTTACCATCTCTGCTCTATGATTATAAAAGAGTAATTGGCACATATTTTCAATCTTTTACCTCCCCCATTTCATCTCTCTTTCTTTAGAGGATTGAATTACAAGTCGATCTTACTAAGCAATGACTTGGCACTTCCACAATTCTTAGTTCCTAATAGAATCTATTTATAGTTGCGCACCTGAAGTGGGTTACTACTGGTATTGTGTTTGCACGCATGCAGAAAGTCGAATCCTAAGTATTTAAGAAGATTCAATACACCTGTAGTTTACTAGTTGTAAATATGTCCTTTAATATGTTTTTTGTATCGTCCGTTCAGAACTTAAATTTCACGTTTTTATGATTTCTTTGTAGAAAGTCAATTTACAAATCATCAAACTGGAAACTGTCTTAAAAAGTGAATTATCCTCCTGGTATTTTTTCTATGCGCTATACTCAAGTAATACGAGAATCATACAGTGTCCTTCATTGAAAAAAATATTGATTGGTTATGCATTTATAATAATTGTATAATGTTCCCATATAATTAATAAACTCAGTTAAAAATATATATATATATATTTCTATTGCATTTTCTTGCTCAAAAGGTTCAATCTTTCACCTATCCGTTTTTCACCAGTTGTTCTCTTTCTAGATCAACTTGCTGTCTAGATTTGGTTTCCCTTTGAAAATCGTCCTGTTATGTTCTATATCCAAAAAAATATCATGAGTATACGATTATAGTTCATCCTCCGAAACATATGGTAATGTAACAAAATTTCATTCTTGAAACTGTTGTTCAAATACTTTTAATACTACTAGAGAATGAAACATTGATAGAAATTGAAGAAGTTCCCAGACATATTTTGAATACAAGCCTTTACCATGAAAAATGAGTTTTTATCCTGAGCATAATTTTTACTAAGCATAGTGGATTTTTGTTATACCCGTTGTCATCTACCAAGCACCAAGCAAGCCTAAGCAACTTTTATCTTTGTGAAAAAAAGACTGCAATGAATGCACTTGAAGTTAATAGTTACAGATCTTCACCCGTGACGTAAAGGAATGCTGACTCTCAGAATGAATCTAAGTAGTTTTTCCCGTGTATTTGTTCAAGACGGCTGTAATTTGTTTACTTTTACATGCTGAAAACAAATCTCGTGTAAATGGTAACTTCTTTATACCCCTTTAAACGAACAACACTTTATACATGGTCGTGTCAAAACTTTAAATAGAAATTCAAATCAGGGCATGAAGACCAACTTCCCGGCATTCAAACTGACTTGAGTTATAACATAGCATGCACGATCTATATTCATGCATGACGGTTACCACTTGCTTTTAGTAAAACAACACTTCTTACTTTGCGCGAAATTAATCGAGTAAGCGATGTATATTTAGAAATGGAAATGACCTTTGCAATAGATAAATCCTACAAATAGACGACCATTTTTTACGATTAAATATGCAAATCGAAGAAGGAACGTTTGTGGATTGCTACGTTAGAACAGATTAAGAACCACACACCTGCACAATTATGTATCCGATGCTACATAATTGGGACCTATTAAATCCCTTCCACTAGGCAATCCGATTGTCTACTGGCGTTTACCTGAATGTAATGTGAAGATAATCATTGTTTGATCCAGCATGATCGAGGTAGCAGTAAATCATCTTAGAGCTCATGAATGTGTAATGATAAGCTATAATGATAAGCTACGATCCACAGCACAGATTGCGTAGGGAAATGATAGGAGTGGGCTCATTACCTATATTACGTTCTTCAACGAGCAAGAAAACCAGGGAGGTGTTTCACAAAGATCCTAAGTTGAACTTCTCTCTAAGTTGGACTTAACAATTATGGAAAGCCGTTGGCATATATGAGAATATTTTGTAAATGTTATTTTAAAAGGCATAAAATGTTGATTAAAATCATTAATATTTTCTATTACCAACATAGATTTCATGTTCTTGATGTGGAATTTATGAAAAATCTAAAATTCTTAAATTTCTGCTTTTGAAAATATTTCATTTTAAGGTTCCAATGGCTGTCCATAATTTTGAAGTCCAACTTAGTGTTAAATTCTACTTAGGATCTTTGTGAAACACCCCCTGGCGATTGCGCTAAGGTCATGACCATCCTAGACATGCACAAAAAGAAATATATTTGATTCCTTTGATGTTAGATCCTATGTATTCTTGTATCGAACTCTGATAAACTCTGAAAATTACTGATATTCTTCCTATAGCTCAGTACTCTATGTACTCCAGTGATAGTTCTACGGCTTTAGAATGGCATCTGTAGCGCATTTCTATTCAAATAATTTCTGAATTAAACATAAACTTGTTTTGCTTCACCTGAGTCGAGAAAGGCAACTGTAAACAAATATCATACGAACTGAATAGTGGCCAATAAACTAATCTAAAGTACGTTTTTATACGTTTTGGAATTAAAAGCTATGCTAGATTGGATCAAAAGAAAAGAAATAAAATGAGAAGGAGGGAATTCTAGCTGGGATTTCGGCTCTGAAAGTGTCATATTCAAACGTGACATAATTCAAATCAAACGTTATAGCGATGCACGATCGTGTGTGTATCTAACACCATTACCAGCAGAATCCCAGAGTGCAAATATCTCACATTTCCCCTAAAAACAATATAGAATGCGTCTACTACTAATCTTATTCACCTCACCGAGGGAATGGGTATGACTTCACACTTTTATATAGTTTCTATAGTACAGGTTTAGCATACAGTAGAATTGAAGCTTAAGTACACAATTTGAAAGAATGTAATCTGTTCTTATGTCATTTTGCAATGTATTTCTAGAAGAAAAAGAAGTTTTTGTCATTGTGGAATACTTCCAGTTCAAGTACGTATATACTTTAATCAAATAGAATAAGAATACATACACTAACTATTTATGTTTTCGGACTATTGAACTTTGTAAATGATTTTGAGGGAGACATCACAAATTTTGCTACAAATTGGATTTCTTATTCGGTGTATTTCTGCATTATTACCACTCCCTTTTAGTCAGGTTTTAGACATGATAATCATTGAAATTCTTTTCAATCAACCGCAGAAGATCTTGTAAACCATTTACAACACATTGTTGGTAACCGTGTAATTAATTTAATTCTCAAATTAAAACAGCTACATCGATATGTCATTATTAATATAATAATATCAATGTGATAGTTATGTCGTTATTCATGGTACACAATATTTCGAGGAATTGCATTTTGCCTCCAACAATTAGGACAATTATTAATACATTTTGTCCATGTTTCTACCATAGCTACGCCTTCAAACAAATCTTTATTACGAGAAGGAAAAAAAAAATTAATAAGCGTTTTCATATTTTTATTTTTTTAATCGATATGATAGATTATCTGATAACATTAATAAAACATTGAAAGAACTCGAAAGAAATTATACTGGTGTCTATATTGGTGTTACAGCTGCTTTGATCAAAGTCATATCCTCTCCCATTCCATTTTTTACCGTTACCATTATGGTTACATTCTCTTGGACGGGTCCTTTTAAACAGAAGAAATGAAATCTGGAAGTGACCCTCTTCAAGGGTCTTTTCGGTCCTATACAGATCTCATTTGTCTCTTGCTCACATCATTCTACCACGTAATCGGCTTGGTACTCGTGTTCTGCAATCGATTCGAATCACTGAGTCGATGACGATGATGATTACGATGAGGATAATACCTCCTCTGCGATTCTTGATTGTTGTTCGGTTGGAAATGATAATGGTTATGTTGCGTGACGGGCGTTAGTCTGATACCAGGTGCTCCCCTCCCCTGTCCGCTCCCTTGGAGGTTCGGTGAATCAGCTCCACATTTCTGCAGGGCTTTCTTCATAGCCTTGCGGAAATTCTCAGACATGATGGAATAGATGATGGGATTAAGACATGAATTGATGTAAGAAAGGCACAGAGAAGCAGCTTTGAGTTTAATCGTTCCTTCATTATAAGGAAAGTCACCGTAGCTCTGCCACATGAAGATGAGATGATGAGGAAACCAACATATGCCAAAGACAAGTACAACAACAGAAACCATGATCGTCACTTTCCGTTTGGATTTACCCATGCTTGATTCTCGAGATCCTTTCATGATGCGAAGAGTTCTCCAAAGAGCGCGCAGGATCATCACGTACGCGCACGTTACGAAGAAAAGCGGTATCAAATATCCCACCAAGAATACAAATGTAAGGTATGTTTTTCGTGCTTCGTGTGTCGGCCATATCGTCTGACAGAGCCGCATGCCACCACCATAATCTTTGACTTCATTGTAGACCAGATGGGGAGCAGCGCATGCACATGAAACAAGCCAAATCACTATTACGATGATTTTAGCATTTGAAATGGAACGATGTTGTAACAACTTTAGTGGATAAACAACGGCTGAGAACCTGTCTAAAGACATGGCTACCAGGGTAAATATGCTCGCTAGCATTGATGCGTGCACAAGGAATTCATAAAGCTTGCATATGAACAAACCTAAGTGCCATGATTCCGTTGTAAAAATGACGACTGATATAGGCACACAGAAAACAAGAAACAAGAAATCCGCTACGCTGAGATTGAGAATGAAGACGCTCATGGTCTTGTGTAAGCCCTTTAACCGGCCACGAGTCACTGCGATCACTAACGAGTTTCCCACGATTCCAATCAAACAGATGAATCCAGCGATCACGGCGAAGATAATATTAAAATCATCTTGAGACGCGTAGGCTGGTGACGTATAATTGTCGAAGTAAAACTCGCTTACGAACTCGCTTTCAGACATCATCATTGCATCGCTGTTTCCACTGCCAGAGAAATTTCCCATCATATTCCTGCAAAGAGCCCCTTCAGAATGACGCGATGTATAACGAGTCGCTCAAATCATGATAAATGGCTCATTTATACCTTTTGTTCGTACGGATATCAAGCGAAGTTGGTTATGTGATGTAACTGTAAATGAACGTGATGTTGAACGCACTCATGACTAGTCGAAGGCCACCATGAATAATAGCGACCTCAAAAATTCTGATGATTCCACCTGCTACCCACGCACTCTCTCTCTCTCTTTCTCCAAGGTCAATTCTACTTTAAAAAAATGTAGGTCAAGGATCTGCAATCAAAGTCTCATGAAAAGAACGGTTATGCAACGACAACGCTCTTGCATTTATCAACTGAAGTCCATACGATCCCATCCGTGGTGAGAGAAGGACATGTTATTTTAATAAACACTTGTTTATTGACACTCTAGAACGAAGAATTGTCTATGTTCCATAACAATCCACTCATATTAGAAATATTATGAAATATGGCTCCATCGAACAGGTTTCACGAAATGTTAGTGGTGTGTTAGAGTAACATTCATCAGGGTGAGGCCATGGCGATCTACATTAGATGTGGAAGTATTGAATCGTTAACTCTGGATGACATGCGTCCGAGTTGGATAGTCTACGTGGAATCAGACCTGCACTTTCAATCGAATCTTGCGGCTAGTGATCATCAGACAATCTGGGCTGTTGCATGGGTTGGTTCGAATGCTCTCAAAGCGTGCCGAGGAATGGATGCAGCCAAATATTCAAAGACGAGCAAAGTCAGAATGCTTTCAATTGGCTGGGATCGATCCTAGCAAGGAGTCTAGTACACATCCTGTAGAAAGAGAAAGAAGAAGAACAAAATGACAGTATTGGGTTAAAATCAATTCTGCTTTCAACTACACTGTTAGAAAAAAAATAAACAAGTTGTTTAAAGTTTTAAACAACCCCAAGTTAACCGGTGAATCGCTCAACTGTTGTTTAAAAATTAAACAAATTAAGGTTGTTTACATTTTGAACACTAAGTTGTTTAAAAATTAGGAAACCTTTTAAACAACAGTTGTTTAGTAATAAAATTGCAAAACTCGGTTGTTTAAATCAAGTTGTTTAAATTTTAAACAATAATGTTTAAATTACTAAGCAACTGTTGTTTATTCAGTATTACTGCACAACTGGGTTGTTTAAAAGGAGTTGCTTGAATTTTAAACAGAACTGTTTAATGGTTATTATCTGGTTGTTTGAATTTGTGAAATGACCTACTGGAACCACTCCTGCAATAATCACAACGATTTATACACTGTAACATGCAGAGCTTGTTGCCAATTTACTTCAACATTTGTTCATCATATTCATGGCAGTGACAGACAACATTATTATTTGTCTCTATAACTTCACCTAAACCCCATCGGCGAAGCCGAGAAGAACCAAGTCGTCGCCTTGCACTTGTTCCGCCATTTTCGTCTGCACTGCACTGCACTAGCACTTGCACTGCACACTAGCACTGCATGCTTGCATGCATGTATTATGTACGTACTTTGTGCATATCGCATGTGTGTGCGCAAATTGCAATCGCGTATCGAGAAAATATCAACGACGCCCCCGGGACTTTTTAAACAACTCTGTTTAATTAAATATTTTTGTTTTTTAATAGATAGTTGTTTAAGCCAATTGAGCACTGATTTTTCGGTTTTGAACAACATTGTTTACGTTTTTAAACAACATTCTTTTAAACAGTGATATTTTAAACACCGTTCTAACAGTGTAACAAAAGGAAAGAGTATCAAGCACTAATCCTAACCAAACACTAACAGGTGTTATACGTATTTTTGACTTCTATATTGATATTATCGTGAACAAAAATATTATCACGGAATCAAACGAAACTAACGTTTAACCTAATGTCTTAGTCTAACTCATGAATGATGTCTGCTACACGAATATTAAAGAAAATGCATGAAGCTGAATTATAAGCAAATACAGATAAGAATACAAATGGAAAAGAGAAATCCAAAAAAATAATTGCAATTTCTTTATAAATCATTATAAAAAGAGATGACACTAACTCAGGAAGAAAGATCTCCCCAAAGTTCCAAGCATCATCAAATGAAATTCTATCCAACGGGTGTGTCTCAACTTCAAAAGCCAATCAAGGTGCAAACGTTGTCACTCAAAGCTCATACACTAGGCTGTACATTATTAAATATTCAAAAGCAATTTATTAGGCAATCATTGAAGTTCCGGCTTCTTTTGATCTAATGATCTTTATGATGTAGTCTGGCTTTCTTGTCTCTTCAACATTCGATCTGTTCATCATTAGCTATGACCACAGTCCATGACATCCCATTGGTACAGTTTACTTCCGGGTCATTTCATATTTTCCTTTGATGAACATGGCGGTAAACCTAAATACAATATTCAATATTCCTCTACTCTGTGCATGTACAATGGGCGACTGCTTTGATTGATTATACAAAATGATTCCCAGAGACAGAAGATCATGAGAAAGGTCAAACATCGACACTGCCTACAAAGTAGCACTGCCTCTAATCGGCTTGAAATGACCAAGTTAAACCACCTGACAGCATCTCTGTGAAGGTGACTTTCACGCTGAAGAACCTTTGAAACAAAATTCGTATACAGCGATACTAAGTTTGATGTTGGGCTTAGATACATGATCAGCGTCGGTGAATACCTTTTTCGTCAAAGTATCGACCAATGATGACTACAGGTCTCTTTTTTCTCTTTAATCCTTTACAAATTCACCCCACCTTCTTTCTCTCTCTCTCCGTTTTTTCTATTTCTTTCTTTTTTCTCTTTCTCAACCTCCCCCCCCCCCCTCTATCTAGCTCCTACCCCCTCTGAATCCTCACTTCTCCCTCTTTAACTCTCGCATTTCTCCCCTTCCTCTCGATTCGCCCTGTAATTGTATTCATTTTCCTTTACACTTGCCTTTCTTTCGTGTTGTTCAGAGTAAGTATTCATTACGATCTGGTTGACCTTTGTTTAGCTTGTGTTAAGAAATAGAGCAAGATCGAGCAAAAGAAAAACAATTTACAGTGTAATATTTCAACTCTTGTTATCACAAAAATATCCCCACCAAACCCTCTCTCAGGTCCCAAAATTCACACTCCCAAGACAGTGTCGAAGAGTTGCCATCATCCTTCGATTCCGGAGAAGACGCACTTGAATCTCAGGAAAAAAAATGGCACCATAATAGGCATTTGGTAATAACACTAATAACATAACATACTTGTTATCACGAATATGTTCATATGCGCTATAATGGAGGGAAGGAAAGAAAAAGGAAAAAATATATAAGAGTGAGATACACTTAGCAAACTTCCCTAAGTCATCAGTTAACATCGGATTTATTTTTAAAGAAACGGATTAGTTTTAAGACGTGTTTTCAAGTTAGCACACTTTTTTACATAAGTTTTATTCTGGCAATTTATTCCAAAGCTCTTCTGATGCAACCTAGAAAGAGTGTGACCTGTAGACCTTCTTATATATTTGAGAGATGGGGGACCTTTGGGAACACCTGGGGTTTATAGGTATGTATTGGCTAAGCAGTTCAGTTAAACACGCAGTAGCCAATCCTTTAAGCCACCTAAAAGTCAAGAGAAGGATTGTGAACTCGATTTTAGCACGAACAGGTAACAAGTTCAATATTGTTTGGATGGTAGTCGTTTCATAAGAGTGAGTTTTGTCTTTCTTTACAAACTTAGTGGATTGTATTTACTCGAAGATTCGGTTAAGGGTTTCTGGAGAAGACCGGCGCTACGTTGACAAACCACTAGTAATATTCACGATGTTATCAAATGGCTTCGAACCGTGTCTCCTAATACCCAATATCCCAAAATAAAACATGATATCACTTTATAATCCATTGATTAAAACGTTACATACTTAGTACAAGCGAGCTTCTTTCGAAGTTAAGAACACCTTCTGTAACTTTGCGACTTAAACAATTATTGAAAAGCAACTGAAAGTCCTCCGTCTATTGACCAGTATTAAAGTGATTCAAAATAAGTGACAATCGTCATACTTTTACAAGACGACATAAACGTGATTCTCTGATCATATTAATATGTCATATTTATTCTTTATAGAAGACTCTCATAATAATGCATTTTTGCATTTGATTCCAAAGGTACAATCGAAAGCTCATATACCGCTTTTCGATGTCGGGCAAAGTTATAGGGCAAAATGTGTGTTTTTTAAATTTGTTTTTACCTATAACGTAGAATGATCCATTTACATGTGAGTATGATGGAACTATCACCAGGTTGTTTGTGACTGTAGTCACATGAAACGAGCAGTCGCCCTAAAATCGTCTGTTTGCATTTCACGCTTGTCCAATTTAGAAACGGCGTATTTGCCGCTTGTGTGTAGAAGAAAATTAGGTGTATTGGTGTCTTCCCTTGGGCCATCACGTGACTCGAACGGTCTTTTCTTCATCTATACCCCATATCCTCTTCTTCTTTCCTCGATTATTTTTACCAGTTTCTTTTCCTCTCTCTTTCTCTCTCTCTCGTACCCTCCCTCTTTTATGTGCCTCCTCATTTTTCCTCCTAATCATGCTTGCCAACGGTACCGTGTTTTTCTCGATTTAATCCCGCTTCTCTCCCTCTCTTCATCCTTCTCTGATACCATTATCATTTTTCTCCCTCTTTCTTCATCGTTCTATCTGTACCCTATAATCTTTCCTTATATCTCTCTTTCTTTTTTCCTTCCTCTCTCTCTCTCTCTCTCTCTCTCTCTCTCTCTCTCTTTCTCTCGGCTCACACATATATAAATGTACACCCTCACACACCCACATCCACGCACATTCTCTATTCCGTTCGCTCTGCCGTCTCAATATGTTCTTGTTTACCCTCCTGTTTGTCTTGCTCCATCTCTCTCTCTCTCTCTATCGCTCACCTCCTTCCATCTCTTCCTCCCTTCTCTCTTTCTTGATACCCTGTGATTTTGCTCATGAGTAAATACAGACAACTCGATGTCCCGAGCCCCAAATTCATCAGCGCTCCTTAGCTCAAACCGGTAAGCTACAAAAGCAGTCATATCGGATGACGTAATTCGCTGTTGTCATTCGCCTCAGTTAGGCCGATTAGACGAGTGGTGATAGGGGCATAAGGGGATGGTTGTAACCAGGGGAGGAGAGGGGGTAAAGAAGGGGAGGGTAGTAAATGAATGGGAGGGGTGGATGCTTGTAGTAATGGAGAGGAGGGGTTAAAAAAAGGAGGGGAGTAAGGAGGAGAGTAAGGGAGGGGAAGGGTATTCCATGCACTGTTGAAAATTATCTTTAATCAATTAATAAACACTTATTTTTTAAATAGTCTCATTAAATTAAGCAGTTTCAATTGATTTTCTGCTTTGTCTGAGTTGCATTTTATAAAATTGAAGAGCATTAACAACAATCAGAGGTAGTTTGCAAAAAGAATATATGTTTTCATGAAAGTTGTTTGGAGATTGTCATCTGTGCGTTTGATGGCGTCTCTATGTTGGCGCCTCGTTTACATGTATGGTGTGA